CTGGAGCCTTGTTGGACTGTATTGTCTTGAGAAGAGAGGGGCAGGAAAGTCAGGAGGAGGGAGTGGTCCAGGGAAGAGGCAGGCAGACAGAGGCTGAGTTCCACACGGGATGGACCAAGCTCAGTCAGAGGTACAGGGGAACTCCTCTGGGGAGAGGAAGCTCAAGCTCAGCAATGATTATGGAAACCAAGGGAGGGCTGAGACCACCATGAGATGGGGGTGCATAGAGGGACCCCCATGAGGTCCCTGAGGGCACTGAGGAGGGACCTTGAATAACACCTACTGTGAAGGCAGTGTTTCTCCATACCTGCACCACCCAAGATGGCATCTGCATGCCACAGGGGCCAGTGAACATTAGAAATGTGGCTGGTCTGAATGGAGAAGTGCTGCAAGGATACAGCACACACCGGATCTTGAAAACAGGATGAAAAAGGGAACATAAAAATATCTCACTATTACTTTGTACGCTGATCACATTTGGGATCTATTGAATTAAGCAAAATGTATTCTAAAATGAATTTTATTTCTCTCTTTACTATTTAAAAATGTGTCTTTTTAAAAAAGGCACCCATAGCTTGGTGGTTAGGGTTCCAGCCACATACACCAAGGCAGGAGGATTCAAACCCAACCTCGGCCTTCAAAACAACAATGATAACTGCAACAACAACAACAAAAAATAACTGGGTGTTATGGTGGGCCCCTGTAGTCCTGGCTACTCGGGAGGCTGAGGCAAGAGAATCACTTAAGCCCAAGAGTTTGAGGTTGCTGTGAGCTGTGATGTCACAGCACTCTACTGAGGGTGACAGTGAGACTCTGTTTTAAAATAAATAAAATAAAAATTACACATGTAGCTTGCCTCGTATTTCTATTGGATGACAGTGTTCTAGAACCTGAATTTCACAGTCTATGGAACAAATGTTGTAGAAATAAAGTAAAACCAGGTGGGAGGGTGGAGGCTAAGATTTGCAAGATGCCACATGACTCATGGGAACCTGTTTTTCTACTGCAGGACTTCCCAAGGCAGACATCTCCCAAACTGAGTGGGCCACAGATATTCACCCTTCCACTGGGCTTCCTGTAAGAAGAGAGTTCTGCAGAACACACCAGGAGAAATAGTGTTTCAAAGGGAGAATGATAAGCCTGTGAGATGACCAGGGGGCGAGAGAATAAGGATGACCGGGGCAGAGAAAGGAGGTGCCAAAGTACCAGGGGGTAGGAGTGGGAGTCTGAGGCTGTAGGGAGCAGAAGAGGTGGGAACCCGAGGGAGGAGCCCCTCTGCCAGTCTCGTGCTGGCTTGGCTGAGCTCACTGTGCAGGCTGCAGGCGGTATCGGAAGTGCACGTCATGGCTGGGCTGTGTGGTGCCAAAGCCCCAGCGCTGTGGGTCAACAGGAGGCACAGGTGTGCCAGGGTCCACTAGCTCTAGGTCAAAGTATGTGACCATGAGCAGGATGAAGAGCTTCATCTCACTGAGGGCCAAGAACCTCCCAGGGCAGATGGAGACGCCTGAGCCCCAAGGCATGGTATAGTGGTGTATCTTCTTGCCTGCCTTGTAGAAGTCTACTTTTCGGCTCCCGTTAGGGTTGAGGAAGCGATTGTACTTGAAGGCAGTGGGCTCGGGGTGGATTTCAGGGTCCATGTGCACAGAGAGGTAGGGAAAGAGGGCCACCATGTCTCCCTGGCGGAATAGGTACTCCTTCCCACTGGCCATCTTCAAGATGTAGTCCTTGCACACCGCCCTGATGAGGGTAGGTGCAGCCCTCAGCCGTAGAGTCTCCTCCATCACGCTGTCCAGCACCGGGGTGTGTTGCAGGGCACTCAGCTTAAAGGGGAAGGGCTGCTCGGCCTCTAGCCTGACCTTGCCCAAGACCTGGGTAGCTTCCTCCTTCACAGCCCTCATGGCTTCTGGGTGCTTCAGGAGGAACAAAAGGGCCCAGAAAGACGTAGGCCCCGTATTTCCCTGCGAGGCCCAAAGCATCATGAAGTTGAACTTGTCTTGCATAGCTGGAGTTACTCCCTGCTCCCTCAGAGATTGAAGCATGTAGGCGACCCAGTTGCTTAGGCCGTCTTTCTCCTGGGTGTGTTTCACAGAGAGCATCTTGTGAAAGAAAGACTGGAGTCGGCCCACTTCTAGCCACTCCCGGGGCCCCAGCAGGGAGTAAACAAACCTGGGGAAAAGGAGGTCGTATTTGCGGAACTGTGTGAATAAGTCCTCTGCCTGTAGCAGGTCCTGTTCCTTGTCCTTTGTGTAGCCAAACAAGCTCAAGTAGCCAGCCTTGAACAGGATGTTGTAGCAGAAGTGAAAGAGGCCATCCTCATACCAGCAACCGGCATCCAGACTTTGGCCTTTGGGCCTCAGCATTACCAAGGACAGGCTGTCTAACATGACCTCATTGAGCTCCTCCAAGCCATCTCCCATCAGATACTTGGTGCTAGCTGAGTGGACCATATTGTTGTCTCCTTGCATTGGAGAGTATCCAAATACTTTTAGCACCAGTTCTTGGGCATATTGTACGAAGTCTAGTTTTCTCCGTGAATCCTTGAGGATGGGGCCGAAGGAGAAGGGGTCCATGACAAAGTGGAAGTACTGGCCCCCTAGCAGCACTGTGAACACTTCCCCATGCTTAGCTTGCATGCGCTTCAGGAATTCAAACATATTCTTCCGGAAAGCCAAGGCATGGCCCAGCCAAGGCACAGTGCCCTTGTCCAGAGGGGGCTCCTGGGGCCTGCGTTGTCGGAGAAGTCCTGGCAGGAACAAGTACCCCACAATGACCACCAGCAGAAGTCCCAGCACCAGACTCCAGAGCACCATGGCTATGCTCCTGCAGTTTAAGCTCCAGATAGAACACTGCTCTCTAGATGCCAGAAAACTCTGGGAGGCTTTGATATATTAGGATTGGAAAGATCTGTACACCCGGACCTTGCCCTGTGGCTGAAAGTTGTGTAAATAACCCTAGCAGAACAGTATCTGGAAGCAAACTGTTCCCTTGTACTTAACACTTGACAGAGCTTATTCATATGGGAGGAGGAGGTGACCAGGAGGAAGTTCAAAGAGAAGCCATGGTCACAGCTGCTCACTTTGCTCTGACCTTTCTCAACAGCTCTCTCATCTTCTCTTTAAGCCTACCGTGAGCCCACCCCTATCCCCATGACTTACTGACTATTTACACCTATATTTATTCATGTATTCATTTATTTGCCAGTTCATGCTATAGAAATGCACCAAGCTCTTACGAAATTTCACATCCTCCCCTTCCTTATCTTTAAAAGACTTAACAATGCCTGTAATCCTAGCACTCTGGGAGGCCAAGGCTGGTGGGTTGCTTGAGCTCAGAAGTTTGGGACCGTCCTGAGCAAGAGTAATACCCCATCTCTAAAAAACTAGCTGGGCATTGTGGCAGGCCCCTGTAGCCCCAGCTACTCAGGAGGCTGAGACAAGAGAATCACTTGAGCCCAAGAGTCTGAGGTTGCTGTGAGCTGCTATGCCAGGATGACTGAGTGAGACTGTCTTAAATAAATAAATAAATAAATAGGTCAACAAAAACTTCCATTCCTAGTTGATCTCCCTGGGCAAGTTACTTTATTTTACTGTGCCTCCATTCCTTATCTGTGAAATGGGAATAATAATAGTACATTACAGGTGCTATTGTGAGATGATGAGAATACATGAAAAACACTTGGAATAGTTCCTGGCTCACCTTACTGAATGCTCGATATATGTTAGTTCATATCCGAAAGCCTTTTCTCATACCTCTGTTCCCTCTCCTGGGCCCCATGACAGCCCTGTGCCTATCTTCTCATCCTTTCCCAAGTCTGTCTCCCCTCTGGTCTCAAACATGTTTGCCAAAGGGGCACGACCTTGTTGGAGTCATGTCCGCTCCTGGTTCCATGTGCACAGGGCACATACAGTCAAAGTCAAGTGAAGAATGAATGTATGTCCTTCCACTGGAGCTTTTGACATCCTAACGTGAAGGAAAGAGACTGATTCTGGGGCTTTAAGTCCTTGGGAGGTGAGCTGATCAAGTGATGCTGACTCCTTCTGAGGGTGTAGGGTGAAGGAATCTGTCTGAGGGCACCCACAGAGCTTCCTAAAGTATAGACTAAGGATCCTCCAAGCAGAGGCTCAGGCCTCAGCCTTTCTTTTCTTTCTTTCTTTCTTTCTTTTTTTTTTTTTTTTTTGAGCCAGAGCCTCAAGTTGTCACCCTGAGTAGAGGGATGTGGCATCACAGTTCACAGCAACTCCCAACTCCTGGGCTCAAGCGATTTTCTTGCCTCAGCCTCCCAAGTAGCTGGGACTATAGGCACCTGCCACAATGCCTGGCTATTTTTTGGTTGCAGCCGTCATTGTTGTTTGGTGGGTCTGGGCTGGATTCGAACTCGCCAGCTCAGGTGTATGTGGCTGGTGCCTTAGCTGCTTGAGCCACAGGCGCCAAGCCAGCCCCCGGTCTTTGATCTCTCACCTGGAGCCCTCCCACTAGTCCTAATGCCTGGCCCATATGCTCTCTAACAAGACAGCAGAATCCTGGAATTAGGAAATGTCAGAAATAAAAGAGACTTCAACTAATCATTTTGCCATGAGGATCTAGGGTCAGTGCAGTAGGGACTTCCTCTAATAGCTGCCCAGGCTTGGGGCACTGAGGTATAATAGCTGCTCAGGCTTGGGGCACTGAGGTAAGCTGGGGCTAAGCCTCACTAGGGGCTTCTGCAAGCTGTGAGGCCAGTTCCCAGTCCACAGATCCTCAAGAAAGCTGGACCACTGACTCAAACCCGTTGCTACAATAAGTGAGGTTCAGAGTTGATTCAATCAGTTCTGATAATCCCCTAAATTACTCTTTAACTTCCTAATGACCTGTAAATAGGAACTTTGGTTCCTCAGACAATCCTAGTATTTTCATAGGCCCTCCTGAGTTTCTTTTGCCTCATAAGCTTCTCCTGGGCAGGGACCTGCCATTGTCCACGACCTCCAGGAAGCCCTTTGTGATTGCTCAGGGCAACCACAGCCAGTACTTTGTGCCTTCAACTTTCTTCAGCCTTAGAATTCACAGTCAGAAACTGTCTCTGGGCCAAATCCAATGACCTGAACTTTGTCCCTTAGCTTTTAATGGCTGGAACACCATTTTACATTCATCCTTAACTTCAAACATTTACCCTCACTTATCCATTCATTCTTTTTTTCCTTGAAGCAGCCTTATTTACTCATTCACCAGGTATTTATTGGATAACTACTGGCAGAGATTTTGCTGAGTGCTGGGAATATAACTGTGAATGAGATATACATGTTCCCTGCTCTTGTAGAGCTTATGGTCTAATGCAGTGGTCTCAACCTGTGGGTCACAGCCCCTTGGTAACAATGAAAACACATCATGGCATTAGGAAGGTTGAGAACCACTGGTCTAATGGAAGGAAAAAGATATTAATTATTGCCCAAAGTATATAATTACACAGTCATATCTCATTTTATTGTGCTTTGTTTTATTGGACAGTCTGACTATCTTATTATAGGCTAATGTAGTTGGTGACTTTAAGTCAAATTAATGCTCATTTAGTATTCCAAAAATCCTAGGGTCCTTCAGAATTATGCTAAATCTAGTCTGATAGTGCTCTATAAATAGAACAACAAAGCCTGGAAGATAGCACGTTTGTTTACATCATGGTTTTAAGCCCATTATTGAGATCTACCGTTCATAAAAAAGGATTCCTTTCAGAATGCTACTGCTGATTGACAATGCACCTAGTCACAAGAGCTCTGATGGAGATGCACAAGGAGGTGAATGTTTACATGCCTGCTAAAACAATATCCCTTCTGCAGCCTATAGATCAAGGAGTAATTTTGACTTTCAATTCTTATTGTCAGAAATACATTTCATATGGCCACAGCTGCCATAAATAGCAATTCTTCTGATGAATCTGAGCAAAGCAAATTGAAAACCACCGTCTGGGAGGGAATCATCATTCTAGATGTCATTAACAACATTTGTGATTCATGGGAAGAGGGTAACGTACAAACATTATGGAAGGAGGAATTTGGAATTAGGAATTTGGAAGAAGTTGATTCCAACTGTCATGGATGATTTTGAGGAGTTTAAGACTTCAGTGGGGAAATAAATTGCAGATATGGTAGAAATAGCAAGTGAACTAGAAGTAGAGCCTGAATATGTGATTGAATTGTTACAATCTCATGATAAAACTTGAATGGATAAAGAGCAATACTTTTTATAGGTGAGCAAAGAAAGTAGTTTCTTGAGATGGAATCTGCTCCTGGTGAAGACGCTGTGAACATTGTTGAAATGACAAGAAAGGATTTAAAATATTAGATAAACTTCATGGATAAAGCAGCAGCAGGGTTTGAGAAGATTGACTCCAATTTTGAATGATGTTCTACTGTAGTTAAGATGCTATCAAACAGCATTGCATGCTACAGAGAAACCTTTCATGAAAGAATCAGTCTATGCACAAACTTCATTGTTCTCTTATTTTAAGAAGTTGCCACAGCCATCCCAGCCATCAGCAATCACCACCCTGATCATTCTCCAGCCATCAACATGGAGGTGAGACCCTCCACCAACACAAATATTACAACTTGCTGAAGTTCAGATGATTGTTAGCATTTTTAAGTAATGAAGCTTTTGAAAAATTAAGGTATGTATTTTTTTGAACATAATGTTATTGTGCACTATTAGGACAATTAGTCCTGCACTACAAATACTCTAGTATGTCTGAGAAATTGCTCTATGCCTAATAAACATGTTTACATGATTTCTGAGAACATTTTTCAGTGGTCAGTCATCTACATCGAGAATCTGCACTTGAAAACCCCCGTCCATCTTCGCTCCAGTTGACATCCCTATGGGCCTTCAGAAACCTTGGCCAATGCATGAAAAGCACGGCCCACTCCATCATCATGTCAGCTACCTTATCCCCCTCCCCCACCTACTCCTTTAACCTTAAAACCTGACTGCAAAACCATCACCCCAGCTGCTGTCTTTCCCAGCAGCCCTACCCAGTGTGGCAGCTTTATGTCAATAAATGCAGCTGCTTGACTAACCTGTCATCCTGCAATTCTGTCCAACTGACCCAACGACCTTAGTGCACACCTAATATACTACATGTACAGTGTGAACATAACTTTTCTACATACTGGGAATCAATCAAACAAACAAACAAACAAACAAAAAATTGTGTTACTCGCTTTATTGCAGAGGTCTGGGTTGGAACCGGCAATATCTTTGTGGTATGGCTGTATGGTGTGCGCTCTGCAAAGAGCAGAGCCAGAAGGGAGGTGCAGAGTCTGGAAGGCCACACTGATCAGGTGCTGTGTGTACGGCGGTGGTGCTGGTGGTGGTGCTAGCGGCAGGTGGTCTCAACGTATGGGAGCATACCCGCCCCAGGCCAATGTGCCTGGAGCGCTCAGGGGAGCGGGATGACTGGTCTCCCCCGGTGTGCTGACCCAGCAAGCTCACTGCTGTTTCTGGCTGTGACAGTCACTTGGCATCAAACTCCTCTGACGCCACCGCTGCAGCCACCCTAGTGTCCGGGTTCAGGCCCTGGGAGTCACTGGCCGGACGGGCAGTGACAGGCTCTTCCCTGGGCGGAGGCTGGCTTGCCCCTGGGAAGGCGGCCCAAGTGGCTTCCCTCCCCTGCGCTCCTGAGGAGCCCGGGCCAGTGACCTAGAGCCAGCTCAGGGAGCGCGGCACGATTCAGCCCTGCTCCATTGGTCCCGGATCCCCCCAGAGGCTGAGGGCACAGTTATGAGGGTGGGAGAGGAGGCCAGGAAGGACAACCACACTCAAGGGCGGCCTCGGACACTTTAAAGCGGGACAGGCACGAGGGCGGCGTGCGGGTGACCTCTTTTGGTCGTTCCACAGTATTCCGCGCCCAGGCGCGGTGTGTGTCTGTCAGGTTGGCTGCAGAGCCCCTAGCGGGAGAGTGAG